GTCACCTACCGTCAGTTTTTCTGAATGCCCTTCTTTGAGTGTCCTCCCCCATCCCCACCCCCCGGATATGGGCGCCGAGGAAGCGCTATCAGAAAGTTACGGTAATTGTTATCTGACGGTTCTGGGAACTAGCGAACCTCGTCACTACGTTCGACAATGGAGATCGAATTGCTTTGTGGTGTGAAAGTTCAAAATCTTTTATGGCCTTAAGGTTTTTGAGCTCTTACGAAATCTGCTGGGGTTGAATGGTGGTATCTCATACCATATTGGCTCTTGAATAACCGCGTCCCATAATTGACTCCACTTTAGCTTTTTTATTCCATTCCTCTTCATCACTCTAGGGTTCAACCACCTGTGTAACCCCGCGTTCTAGCCCAATTCTCAGAGTAATTTTTCTATCTTATTTCTAGCGGACTCAAGTCTGTTGTTCAGTACCATCCCGAGCCATTTCATCCACCACACTTCTCAAATGTGATTGACCAACACTAAATAAATAGGAATGCCTATCTCACAAATATAACAAACCATCATTGATCATGTGTCTTACAGAAGAGGTACTAAATACTGACATGAAGATCTCCTTTGGAAAGCTTTGAGACTCGTCATACCCCAGCATATAAGAGGAAATTGCTCAACGACAAGATTTTAGGCAGCGTGTTTCCTAGCCTTTGAAATCACGACATTGGTCTTCCTCAGATTTCAAGAGGCGCGCCTCTGCGGAACAACACGTTTTTTTTTCGCAAAATCAACAAAAGGACTTCAACACTTTATCTCGACTGCACTGTCCCATTACTGCCGATTCCTACTTCTGTGATAAGTCTATGAAAGCTTTTTCGTGAGTGCCCGCTCAAGAACCGGAGTCATTAGCATTGGTCATAAGGCATCATTCAATGAGGGATAAAACGATCCCTCTGCTCCAGATCCCACCATTTCGTTTCTTTCTGTGATGCGTCCGGCGCCAGCCCAATCCTGACAACGTCATCTTTAGGTTGCCGATTGTTCGATAGGATTATAAAGTGCAAAAGGACAAAAAAGTGAAATTTTGAAGATGAGATTGAAACTCTTTCTTCGACGAGAATTTCAAGTATCTCTTCTCTTAACGATCAGAAAAGACCATGAGATCCCTTTTTTGCTGACTCCACTAACGAAACAAAGCAAGAAAATCGAGGTTAGTAATGTGATACATCGCAATTTTCATGCTCTATTCCTATATTGTAATGTTAGCGGAGAAGATCCATTTGTTTTTTAAAGTGATTTGTCAGGCCCCGTCTCTCGATCAATATTGATAACGTGCGATGTTTGAGAATCGAATCACATCGGATTGTTGCCTATTTCGTTTCCGGCATTCGCCTGCTTCGATTTTCTCTGCCATTTTTTTTTGAATTTAAAAGTGGTCTTTTTCGGTATATATTATACTACTACCCAAATGAGTGGAACCTTCGACGGCCAAAATAAATAATAGCGCAGGTGTGTTGAAGGGGCACCTAAGTTTTGGTTCGCTGTCCCGCAAACAAGTAAATCCCATTTTTGACAGGGAAGGAAGTTCGGCGGTAGGGTGAAACAAGTCCAGTTTTGCTGACAAGAAACGATTTACGTGATCATAAAGAGAAAATGTTCACATCGTGTTTCGCCTGCTGGCATGTTCGGAATCCTCGTGCTATTACAAGTCCGTTACGCCGCAGTTTTCAAAAGGCACATTGAATTGAGCATGGAATGAGTGTTGTTCTACTGCGCCCCGCACCGCATGAACACATCTGTAAATAATGGTTCCATCGCTAATGATGAAGCGAAACCATCTAAACAAACGCTTAGGAATCCACAATGCGGCCGCCGACTCGGTAAAGGAGTAAATTTGCGCCTTATTCTTGCACATATTGGGGCGGTGGACGTGGGCAGGCGAGGGGCCCGGTGGGGTGGTCGGGAAGAGCGAGTTTTACGCCCATCCCTACAGATATCTTACCCGGTTGACTCCAGTCTCTTTACCTTAATTCACCGTATTTTAGATAGGATCAAAGGAGACGACCAACCAATGAGCAGGACGATGCGAAGAATTTAAGAGCGGTAGGCCAATTCATCTGCCATCTTGGGCGTGAGAGGAACAAGTTTTTAGGGGTACCACAAGATGTCCAATCACCACGATTTTCCCAGAGCTGGAACGTGAGGCGGCGTTGCTACTTCGGCCAACGTTCTGTACACCTTTCATATGAATGCTGTAATCTGTTCGCATACCCGAGTGAAGGAAGATCCGGTTCCACCACCATTTATAAAAGTGCAAGAAAGCTAACCTCGAATCCTGCAGAGATACCGATCAAAGAGAGTCTTTGCTGCTTCTGCAAAACCCAACTACTCGGATGCGACTGTGCCGAAAATCCCTCCGTCATTTCGATGACGGACTAACAGGGAGGGAGGCTAGGCTAACTTGACGAAGACAAACTCATCCGGCAATGGCCCGTAGTGGAGAGAAGTGGCTCGATGGGAAAACGTCAAACTTTGTTTATTAGGTGTCACCTGCAGACTATATTTGCCGAGCAGTGGATTTTTTGCATCTTATACGTCCCATCTCAAATGCAACAATTATCCATTATCTTAACGCCATCTAATCTTGGAAGAGGTAGTGGTATTCCCACGTTTAATATTAACCATGACGGCACATCTTCACTAAGTTCGTTTGATCGAAAAATACTTCCATCGCAGAAATGAATTTCGCAAACGAAACAAAATATAAGCCAACTTTGATCAACAACCCGCCCGTCGCCGTCAGCTGAAACGCGGGGGATGAAACATGAACTTGGCTGCGTAGATTCTCTCGTCCCGTATGTTTCTCCGTTTCCTCTCTCTAGTCTTTCGTCCTCTGACCCTCTGCTTGGCGCCAAGCTTTCATTCAGTAAGCGCACAAATTACTCGAAATCAACGCAACAAACCTACAAGTACCTCTCTTAGGCATTCCCATCAACCTTGCCTTTCCTTTTTCTATTCTCGAGACCGCTAGCATCTACGCTCTTTATTTGACCCCCATTACCTCAAACCGTATGATCGTGGAATTCGCCTTCAGAAACATTTTCCTCATGTAAATGAATTGGCCGGTCTTACCTATTACACTATAACAACGAAGTTTTCATCCATTTGGCGCAGTATAACGCACTCATCCCATGCGAGTATAATCGCCTGCAGTCTTTTCCATATACCAAGTGGAACGTGAAACTGTTAATCACCAAAAGTCTCCTCTTCTTGATTTCTTTAAAGGACGCTTCAACAATTGAATCCTGTCGAGCTGGTGCCTTAAAGCATAAAGTAGGCTCGGCTAAATTCAGGCTTAGTGTATTAGTGTTTATGGGAATAACTGATCTGGAAGTGCTATGGCTGCTCATTAGGCTGCCATTGAGATCCATAATTTTTCGAAGTTCACGTCCTTTCATTAGCGCTCAGCCCTCACTATCGAGATTTACGCTCTTTTCGGTTCGGAGCGTAAACAAATTATTTAACATTTCGTTGGGTGAAGCTGCAATTGAAAAAAACCGCAGAGAGAAGAATTTATTCGTGCTCCCTTAGCAGATAGTTAGCGTTTAAGCATGAGGAATAAGTCCAGAGGGTGCAATAACTATTCCCTTTCAGGCTTCACCGATTTCAGATTTCTTCTGCAAAAATGTGGCGCCACGAGTTCCCCTCCCCCTCTCTTCCTCTCCCGCGCGCCCCCGCGAAGGAGCACATAAGCCCACAAATTCTCCGCTGCAATTGTCTAGCTAGTATGGGAGCTTTTGAATTTGGAAAGAAGCTGTGATTAGATAGGACGGGGATTCAGAATAACAATGTCGCCGTAATCTTAATGTTTATATATTTTATCCGTGTGTATTTTAAGGATGCTAATCTGCACGCAGAAGGCACGCTGCTGGCCAGATGGCACAAGGCTGCCACGCGCGCGACAAAGTGCTAGTGAGAAGAAATGCGTTCGCGGTTTCGTGTTCAGGATTCTCATTGATCCATGGGTCCAACCATTTCTAAGAACAAGATTGCACCGTTGAGAACCACTTGAGTTACGGAGGATTGCTGATTCTTCGCGATGAGTGTCGCGCCAAACTTGAGCGAGGCTGCCTTCCAAGATCTAGCTACTTTGCATATTTTGCAATACGATTGCACTCAGTAAGAAGTTGTGGTGTGCGTAGAAGTTGACGTAGAAATGTTCCGCAGTTCGAAAACGCATCCCTTGCTGTTTCTAAGGACACATGAGAGTGTGCGAAGCGAAACAGAATAAAACTCCACTCATGCGGACCGGCCGTAATTCGGTCAATCTCCCCATGTGGTATGAGTGCTTTTTATAGTGTTCCATCTTAGAAGCCTGTACCAGGCAGTTACAAGAGGTATGAATTATGTGCGTTTAAACTGCCAGGATTTGGTGACTGCTGACACTTTGAGCAAAGAAATTCAAGGCAGAATGGTACAGGTCTTGTGGGGGTGAATACACCGTTCAAGATCATGCAGTCAACATTCTTTAAGCAGATGAGATGACTACCTCACCCTTGTGGGGGACCACTTCTTTCCACTGCCTCCAGAATTACTGAGGGATCTTAGGCATAGATGAACTTTGGTTCCATGTCATTAGCTTTAACACCGCGAGGTTCGATCTCTGGTTCCTGTTGGATTACTCGCTTCGTGGATCGATTTGCCGTGTGTAATCGCCAGCGTCCGTAGTTGTAGTCGATTTTTCGTCCCCGAAACATTTAACCGAGCCGTTAAATCTCTCGCTGCGATAGCGTTTCCACATTCATAAGACCTGTCGTTACCCCTTTACTTTCTGCACGGTTCTGGTTGGATGTCATTAAGCTAATGGAGGGTACCACAGGTGGCCAGCTATTTGGGAAATTTATTTTACTGGTAAACGTTTTTGAGTTAGTTCCTATTGCTCGTTCCCCCGAAGATTTCTTTCTCTGCACGCTGACAATGGCAGTAAAATCAGCTTTGGAGCAAGTGCCATAAAGGAAAACCATTCAGCTGTGTCGCCCATAACAATGACTGACTTCTAGGCACACTTTTCCGCCTATTGTTGGTAGGAAAAACAAACCCCGATGAATCGGTGAAGAATGGTCGGAGTTTGACATTATACTAGCATCCAGCCAAGTCCCGGCGGGGCCTTCACGTACATCAGCATATCTGCCCGTGCCAGAAATACAAGATCTCTTACGATGAGCGCAGAACGATTGTGATTCCAACTCAGCCCCGCAAGTCGTCCATTCTGATGCGTAACCATCGAGACGTCACCCTGTACGACACATAAAATCGCCGTCGCATTGGATTAGTCAATAAAATTCCGAAAAAACAACGTCACTTGCCATTGCAGTTGAAGCGCTGGGTGGCGCTATTTGATGGGATTTTTCCGACAATGCGTCATATCCGATTCGACTATCCACATCGATTTAATCGTGCCAGGACATCGATGGGACGAATTCATCACCTCACTTCACTCTAGTGGGGTTGAATATTGTAATGGCTAATATCGACCGTATCTCAAATAACGACCGGTTTCACTTTGAGAGGTTCTCCGCCGCTCTTTCGCTGCTTTACACTGGTCTCCAGATGTTTCGAGTCCCTTCAGTGAGAAAGAAGAGGCGCCTTGCCCAAGATCTCATATCTCCCCGATTCGTATTTGATTTATGCTCAGCTCGCTGCCTTCCTATTGGTGGTGTAAGAGCGCAAAATCTTTAAGCTTCATATTGAATAAACCAAATTCGTTATTTCCAAAACTTGTGGAAACCGACATCTTTTGACATTAGAGTGAAGTCATAATGCCTCTTTTACTATCTAAATTATGCCAATTAAGCACAAATTCAAGAATTAATAATAATGGTTAATAAAATAATAAAATCTGCAAGATAGTAGATGAACCTTGTGCTCCTATGATTTTTGTGAGAAATCAATATATCACATTTTGCTGTGGTTCCACGAATGCCTTCAAATACGGATTACCTCTATTTTAAACGCTGGGGTTCAGCAAACGGTTCCTCTGATTTTATTCTTGGCCGTTTGCATTGCAGATGGGCACACTACAAGGCTTATGCTGCATTGCCTAGGTGTGGCTAATTGTATCCAAAATGTTTATGGATTTCTTTATTGTTCGGATGAATAGTCCTGAAAAGTGCAAACAGGTTGAGACCCGAAGCCTCCATGCTGGATATACTTGGAGTGCAGTCCGACCGCCATGTTTTTGTCCTTGGAGGGCTTCCCTCTTGGTAAACTGGAGTGTCGCACCAATGGGAATGGCGCACTGTTCAGGTGACTCCACCCATACGTTACGCATAAGCTTGGGAAGTGCTTTCAGAAATTCTAAGCAGTTTCACCGGCTCTCCTCATTACGGACCAACAAACCACCACATCTACCTCATTTTCGGGTGGAGTAAACTACACCCAGGGAATCAAAGAATATGCCCTTAGGGACTGGAAAATTTGTGGGTTTGGGTGGTCACCTCTTCGCTTTCTTGTATATTTAGTGGTTCATTCAAGATTTCTACCCGGCCTCGCTCCGCGAATTTGTTGGCTAAGAAAGCAAAAGCACTCAATCGGTTTTGCAGGCCCTCGTGAGGCATACTGTGAGCGCGTTAAGCAACCACAATATTTTCGCATTCTAGCACGGAAGTTGAAAGCCATAGGTGATCTCAAAGATACGAAATATTCACTTTTAGTGGAGCTGAATATCACTATGTTTTGAACATCGCGCTCTTCCCCATCATTGGCGTTACTTTCAAGGGCACTGAAGGTCAATGCACTTTATAAAGTCGTAATCGCCGTAGTAGTTGAATAGGAGGCAAAGTGAGAGCAAAATTTTGCCGTCCCCCATTTATGGACATCAGGTCAAAAACACGATTGTGTGTTTTCTGTGCTCCTTTCATTCTGCCTTCATCATTTTATGGACGGGTTTCCAGCTTAGCGAGCACACTTTTGCACACCACACCTTTCCTGGGGAAAAAAACCTGCTCAATCCATCAATGTCCGTGCGAAAATCGGCGTTAATTACGTGATCAGAGCGTGATGCCGACTGTCGTCTCTCGTTATCGACTAGAAAAAATCGTTCTATGTGGCGTGGGTCGCGCTTGACCCTCGGCCATCTGTCCCCGGCTGATGAAATCGTTGATCGCCGACCCACCGCGGCGTTGTCGTTTTCGTCCACGAAGCTCGCCTAAACTCTGGCACATATGCGCCTCATTATCATGACTTTCTCATGCTATTAGCTATTTGTTCAGCGTCGTTTTGTCGATATGCGTCCCTATTCTTCCCGTGGCGTTTCCCTAGTCAAACAATGTGAGCGAGATTGCTGAAAATTTATTGACTTTGTGTCATTGTCGCCGTCGCCGTCTCGCAACAGCATTCAGGCGCCGCTACACCACTATCACTCATAGCTCGCTCTCTCTCCAAAGCGCTGAATTATGCTTGGAATTCGACATGATACTCTGCTCGGCCTTGCCGTCCCAATGGAGTCCAAAAAACAGCATCCGGCTGCGTCAGAAGAAGATTTAACGCCAGATTCTTGCCATATTGCTGGAATGTCTATCATCCACACCAGCCAGCATGGAGAGGGCGTGGCTGTTTTTTGCTGACATTTGAGGTTATTTTTAGCTTGAGGCTAAGAACTGTTAATGAAGTGGCCTAATCAAGTACCACCATTTTGGCAACGAGTCAAAGTGCTGCCGTATATATAGCTTTAGCCCTTTCTCCCATTTTTTGGCGGTTGGCTCCTATTTGTTGCCCCTTGCACCCAATTTGTCATCGAGCGTTCTGTCCATTGGCTCATAATGAGTTTTTCTTTCGTCAGTTCTCAACGCCAAATGGAAAAGGCTGAGCCCCAATTATCAATCATCTAAGACATTCCAGGTCAACAGTTGAGTGATTTACCAATTACGCCTCTGCACTGGGAAATAATCTTGATTGGGGTTATTTGAATTACTGTGGCTGGGGTCGTGTTCCACCAGGGGAGGTGATTGCGTATTCATAGCTTTTTTCTATACCTGGAAACAGGTTTTTCCCCTTTTTGGGGTTAACCACTCAACGTTCTGACACTCACTTCCAGAAATGGGAAGATAGACCGAACAGACGAATCTTGTCTCTTTCTGCCGGATGCTTCAAATCCGAACTTTTTTTTAATTCTGGAGAGGTTTTCTTCAGTGTTTGCTTCTGAAGCCACAAGCCAAGATGGTACAGAGCTTTATTTGGCTAACGTTTCGGCCTTCTCGCCTTCGTCAGAGTCTGGAAGCAAAAGAAAAGAATTCAGCTTTGGAAGCAAACTTTAAAAGAGTACCACACGCGATGCCAAGATTCATCGATCGTCGATCCTCTGAAGAGCTTATTTTCCATCGATAAAGTTCTCTTTGTCGATGATAGTTCGTGTGCAATATTGGCATTACTGAAAGCGTGCTTCCAAGGCTCGAAAGCTTCATTCGCTTGTTTACAACCGCGGAAGAGGCGTGGCTAGTTGTTTTGTAAATTTGCGTCATTTCCGCCGTTACTATTACTATTCTTTCTGCCAGTCTCAACGCCGGTTAGCTTAAGCCATCGTATTTCACGACGAGCCCCGCTACCGCTCGCGTCGAACACTTCATGAATATTCAATGACGTATCATAGCCACCTCTTCCCGTGCATAGCCGCTCTTTGACTACTTGGTTACGTTCGCATCTTCACCGATACTTTCATTTTTACTGTTTGGACAATTTTATTGCACTCCCCGGGCGGAAGCGGTGTATTGGCTATTGGCGCAGCTTACTATGAGCATGTTCCAGGGGTCAAAATCTTTATCCCCTTCCAAGCCTTCTATCCCCACCGCCCGTCTCGGCTTGGTGAGAAAATATCAGATATGTATGGAAATTTGATTTATACCGGCCGTTCTCCCTCCCTCCACCCTCGGTGCAAATCATTGCGTAGCCAGTATCGCATAGAAATGCCACTACCTTTCTAAATAGATGAAGTGAAGCAGAATACGTGGCAGATCCCAAAAGGAATGCTTCGTGCTATTTTACTATACACCCCTCGTACGGTTGGGGGATCCTGGGCGAAAGTTGGAGGACAGTTGAAAGTATTGAAGGTAGAAGTGTTGAAGTAGAGGAGAGAAGGGGTCATGGGCGAAGGGGAAGAACGAAGGCTCATACCGGCTGGAATTTTTTCCCGATAGGACACGACGTGGTTTACCCTTGTTTTCTAATCTTTTCAACACTTTAAGCCCTGAGAGAGGGTAGCTTCTGGCGTTTTGCACCACCGAAATGATCGTATGGATAAATAATATGTCAGATAAATATGCATGCTTTAAGATCACCAATTTTGAGACGTCAATACTTTCTGAGTAACCGTCGTGATGTTGGGCGGGCCCGGTTGCCGCGGCTGCAGATGCTAACTTGTGATTTCGGCTTCTTTCCTAGTAAACTTTACATGTCATTACGTGATCACATAATCTTCGCGACCGCACGCTTGATATCCAGCTAATGTGAACGCACTCGGCTTCAAGACTTCTGCCACTTATGTAGATGCATTAAGGGTATGTGACTTCAGCGTCCCATCTGCCCACTACTTTCCCAGACCTCATTAGAAACAATTAGGGTTTTGCTTATGTAAGTGTTTGCTAAAGCTCCATAAAACGAATCACCTACGAATGTCCACTATTTGTTCTAAAAGAAATTGATCGATAATCAATCCATAATTCGAGCAGTGAGTAGTAAAAACGATTACTGAAACTGATCATATAGAAAACGTTCATAAAAATTTGTGCAAGCGGCAGTGCTGATAGAAAAGGCGCGTTCGTTGGTTTTTTTTTCGATATAATCTGTTTTTGAAAAACTCGTTATTTGGTTTTCTCGTCCCACGCCACACACAATTACTTCCCGAATTACGATTATTCACCTAGTCTAGCTATTTCTGTAATCCTCTTTTGTTACTTATAGCAGAGTATTAATAATCTGTTAATCATGTATGCTCTCAACTCCCATTCGTAAACACTAATTTCTTTGAAAAGGAAATGCAGACCGCCGAGCGAGCGCGGTCGCGTTGCGGCATTTGATATGTAACGGCATGTGCACTGGTCTCGGTTCTACTGCAAAATACAGGGCATCCCTTAGGATCAAACCTAAAAAGCGATAGGAGCGCTGCGAGAAATGAAAATTGCTCTTGCACCCTGTAGACCCCCCCCCACCACCTCTAAGCAGAGTCGACCGTGCGTTGCGCAGTTCTCAACGGCACGTTGAGAGATCCTCATCGCACGCTGTATGGGCGGAGAACACAGACGGCTCGAGCATGCGAGTGTGAATGTTCGCGCGAGAGAACGTGTCTATTCGGGCGAAACTGCGCAACGTGGGCGTTGAGAACTGCGCAACGCACGGTTGACTCTGCCTGTAAAGCTAGGTCCCATTTGTGCAAAAAAAAAAACTATGTTCAACGCGGTTGTGGTTAGCCAACTAGCCACAAACACGTTGAACATCGTTTTTTTGCCCCCACAAAGCCCATTACCTTTCGAAGCTGTCGTTTAGCTGGCTGGTCTTTAGTATATTAGAGGACTGTTGTTAGATCCTTTTACAAAGGACGGTCCAGAATGAGAGGACAAATGTGCAGCCTGCGTCTCTCACCTAGACCGCTCCAGGAACAGTCGTCCGCACATGATTATTTGCTTTTTAATGGACTGGGGAAGTGCCATTTTTCGGTGCAGATACAGCTATATTGCGATAGTTGCGCTGCGCTGATATGATAAATCACTGATATGATTAGATAAGGGAAAGTTGCATAATGGCAATCGAACGCTAGCCAACAGGTTGGGTGCTTCAACTTGATTTCGTTGTTTGAAGGCGGCATCGCTATTTTTCCACCTAAACCACTGAAAAATCTATTCAAGTTCTTCTCTTTCGCTGTAGAATCTCTTCAGTACAACCGAAAAACATTTTCATCTTCACTGAATATCTCAAATTAAGCAGAGCTTCATGGGAACTTGATTGTTCTTCTCTGATTCGCTATAACTTTTGAACGGCAGTTCAGAGTACGAGCAAACCGGCTGTTGAAGGCGGATTGCGGGTGGCGCAATGGGTGAGCTGGCTGCTGGTCTGGGCAGGTGTCATCATGGCCTTGGCCATGTTCCGTGCAACTCTCCGCGCTGTTTCATCAACTAAATTCGCATTTCATCTCATCCACAATGCAATTACACCTTCCGGCCGGCTATCTCAATGGGTTGCGTTTGTTTGTTCAGATGTTCGCATCGATTGTAATTCGTCACTCACTATTTCTCGTTGATATTTAACCAGGCTTGTGGAGCGTCCTGATTTTCGCCACAAAATTTCTACTATACTTTTCGCCCTTTCTTTTCTGTTCGATATGCGTTTCCCTTTTCATGATCATTGTCATGATTTCGCGTTTCCGTTTTCGTTGTCGTCGCGATGCTCTTCCTAAAGAGATCGTTTCCGTGTGTGTGGTCCCAAGTGCCCGTCAGCTCTCGCCGCAGTTGTGGGTTGGTTGTGTTTGGCAGCCCGCCCATTCGGCGTCGGGGTGCAGACGGGCAGAGCTCGTTGCGCGTTCGAGGGAAATGAGGCTCGGCCACGAGGCACACAGAGGAATCGATCTCTAGGCGAGTTGTGGTGCTGAGGAGGCTGAGCTCTCTCTATTGCAGGACTCACACAAACCCTAATGGCCGGCGAGGGCGACCCACCGCCCGACCTCAATAACCGGGTACGTTGATCATTGGTTGACTATTCTATTTTTAGCTGCTTTTTTGTCTGATTTATTTTCAATTAAATTTGATTTTCTTTCATTTGGTTCCTCACTGACGTGCTCCGGAAATCACTCTTGTTAATCACGGCACTTCTTAAATGCTCGGTAACGTAAATGGAATTTCCGAACAGGACCACAATTTTCGTTCTAGCTTATTGGGCCTGCTCTTGGTTGTTTTCATTGTTAGTTTCGTAAGCGTTTATACTTTCTTTTTTTCAGCAGGGCGAGGGTAGTGCGAGTGCGAGTTTTCTTCGAGCCGCTCGTGCCGGAAATCTCGACAAGGTGTTGGAACTGTTGCGCGGCGGGACCGACATCAACACATGCAATGCCAACGGTCTGAATGCTTTGCATCTAGCATCGAAAGAGGGTCACAGCGAGGTCGTACGAGAATTACTCAAGCGGGGCGCTCATGTCGACTCTGCTACCAAGGTGGGTGTCGATGACTGTCTTGGAATAGCTTCAAAATCTCAAGGGACAGCTAACCACGTGTGAATTCCGCTGGTTCTTTGGTATCTTACACCCGTCAATAATTTATTATCCATCTCTTGAGCTGAAAAACAAAAGCACTTCATTGTTCCACAAAACCTTCACGTGAATTTGGCGAATTCCCCTTGAGCTGTTGGTGGTCCAATAAGAAGTTGGGATATTGTAACAATCAATAACATAGATGTTTGGTGAGATAATGGTGCCAAAATAGATGCGCATTCCAAAAATTTGCCATAACATTACTTCCTCGTTCTTCTCGAACACTTATCCTCTTGAAACCTGTACTGCGTTCACAACAAATGCTCAGGCAAAAAAGTGCCCTTCGATTGTTCTAAACGTAAATCACTTACTGCAAGCTTTTTTTGAACTGCGCCTGGTAATAGCGAGAGGTTGTTAGGCTCTAGTAAACGGCTCCTCCTTTTTCTTGAACATCAGCACACAGGAAAAAGCATCACTTTTTCGACGTTCTCCGCATTGAATCTGTAAAGTGAATTTCAGAAGGGCAACACCGCTCTGCACATCTCTTCACTAGCTGGTCAATCACTAATAGTCACAATACTTGTCGAAAATGGAGCTAATGTCAATGTTCAATCACTCAACGGGTTTACACCGTTATATATGGCTGCACAGGAGAATCACGAAGATGTGGTCCGATTCCTCCTTTCACATGGCGCTAATCAAGCGCTTTCCACTGAGGTACGGTTCCGTTCGATTCGATTGTCTACGGCTTATTTGTTTTCGCTTGACCTTTGTAGAGTACGTGCGTGCGAGCAGCAATTTCCCATGCGAGGTTTTTGTGTCGGTGCAGTGGGTGCGTAGGTGATGGCAGGATTATGAGAGACGAAAGCGATCCAGTCCATCCGTTTTTCTCTATACAGAATGTTGCGATGGCGCGATAATGATGGACTAGAGCATACCATTGACGTAAAATAACGCTGAACTGATTGATGGTGGATCGTTATAACTAGTTGTAGTAGTGATTGCTAGCTGTATATCAACTCAAAAACCAGTCAGTAATCTCATTCTGTGGTGAGAAAGGGAAGTACTGGATCAGCGCCTAATGATTATTCTTTAATGGTTGCGAGTTTCCTTTTCGATGTTTCCATTCTTTTTTTGGTCAGTGTCTATCAAAGGTCACATCGAAAAGTTTTTATAGAAGTCCTTGAGCTGAATCGCAGCATTTCTTTGTGATGGATTTAACAATGACCCCCAAGAGCTAGTTTCAAATGACCGTCTGACGTACGAAGATCGCAATTGATTAATTACTGGCACATTAGTACACTGTGCCTACGAAATATGCAGCGCGGCGTCACTGGCAGCAATAGCTAGCAAGTGTAAAGAACGCGTATCCAGCCAGGCTTGCCGACGAGAAGTTGGAAGAGATTCAGCTACTTCATTAACTTTGCAAATGCACCTGGGAAGTTGGTCTATATAATAGGGAAATTGTTTACACAAAGAACCCGTAGCCGCAAATAGTTTTCCTTTGGCCAGATGTGTTCCATTCAGTGTTAACGTATATGCGACACAAATTGGAGACAAAATCAGTGAACAATAGATGATAACGATGTGCGGCCTTGACGCTTAAGTATTACTTAAAAGCGCTGCTTCACTTTTCCTCTGTTTTAGCAGTTTCTACGACAACAGATCTTGTATAGAAAGGATTAGCTCAAAAGCGTATAGTTAGGTCCAGCTTTTTGCATTTGATTGATCAATATTTTAGCTCAGGGTAGTCCTCGCAGAATAAGCTTTTACTACCACAGAATTCGCTAACTATTCATTGTTTCCGACGCTGACCACTCCATATAGCGCACTAGTGTCCATAAGCTCAAAAAATCAAGTATGGTGAAACTGTGAAGCCACGGGAGTTTTTTTGATAATTTAATAGGCTTGCCTGTCTTCTACATGTAATCACGCTTCTATGCATCCAACCAGCTTTTTTGAGGCCGATTTCAAATACAGTGTACCAGCCCAAACGGGTGATGCAAAAACATCGCGCCAATAATGGGATTGGCGACGCTGAAAACAATTGCTGCTCCAAACTTTTTCTCATAAATTTTACACAAGTGTTTCGTGGGAATGGAAATTTTTCTTATGTTCTTTCGAATTCTCATTTATTCCATTTCTAGGATGGTTTCACTCCACTAGCGGTTGCACTACAGCAAGGTCATGATCGAGTCGTCGCAGTGCTTCTCGAAAATGATGCCCGTGGGAAAGTCCGTCTACCGGCTCTCCATATCGCAGCCAAGAAGGACGACATCCGTGCGGCAACGTTACTGCTCCAGGTACTGTCGCGTGTTATTTGTGAAGTAAGCGCATTAGCGCAATGACTTGTGCAATTCAATTTACATATGACCCCGTAAATTCCAAATGACAAGAGGCGATTTATACGTGGATGCAGTGAATGACAATTACGTGACCATGGTTACTTGCAGTTATTGCGTACTTGTTTAGAACGAGCATAACGCTGATGTCACATCGAAATCAGGATTTACACCGTTGCACATTGCTGCTCATTATGGTAACGAAAATGTCGCACAGCTTCTTATCGATAAAGGCGCTAACGTTAACTATCAAGCACGACATAACATCAGGTCAGTTTATGCAGCATAATATTCTTTATTGATCCGATGATAGTGATCCGTAGGAGAAACGGCTATCAACTGCTCCATAGCAGATTTGCTAAGCTGTTCAGACCTATTTGAAAAGAATTGCCCTCTAGTTATCCACGCGCTTAGATAGTGTCAGTGAACGAAATGGCAGTGAGTAGGTCTACTTTTGCATGCGGATAAGCCTTGCACGCAAGCTCACTAGCGTCATATATGTGCGACGTTCAACAGTTTTGAGGGATCATTAACTCAAAATATTAACTGAGTCTATGTAGATGGAAATTTAGGGTCCAATATGTCCCAGAGCAGTCAACTAGAATGGTTACTTTAGCATACTACTCACAGCAGTAGCATGTTCAAGTAACATCTTATTGCTCTTTCGTATACTTGGATGAGAAGGAGTTTTCACTTGTTTGCGTGTCCGCTGGGTATCTCATGCCATCGAATTACGTCCGTTGGAAGATCTGCATTTGCCAGGGTATTACTCCAAACCGCGGGAGGAGATATGCTGTAACGCAGACTATTTACCTCAAACCAATGGACCGTTTCAAATGGCATTCTGGAATTGCACCTTTTGTTTGTTCACTTGGTCATAGATTTTTCCGGGAACTGGTTGGCACATGTATCAGATTGTTATAGAAGGAGAAAGGTCACAGATGTGGTGTCTCAATTAAATATGCAGAACAACCAGATGGGTGCTCGTTGTCCCAGTGTTGTCTAATGAATAAGCATGTTAGGTCTTTGTAGCTTCTGTGAGAAAGCTCCATATCTATTCAACAAGAGCCTGGTAGTGAAATCATTCACAACTCAATCATTAGGAATGCATTTGATTTGCTGATGGAACTGAGCGCGTAGCGTTGGGCCAAGCGGAAGTTAGCCGCTAAGCTGAGCCTCGGGTAGCATCGATTTTGGGTAGTTTGGCCGCGAATTTAGCGATGTCAACCCAGTCCTCCGAGAACAATCAATCTACTCGCTCCTGCGCGAAACCATTGGGGAATAGGATTTTGGCGTAGGCTTGATGCAAAAAAAGCATGCACGTTTTTGCTCGCGGGCGGGCAGGCAAGCTAGCAACGCATTTATGCTCGACGTGGTGTTTATTTAGAGGATTTGGTGGTGGTATAACATTGCTGCAAAGAAATTTGTCGCGTTTCCCTGTGTATACGTGAGAAACCTGTCTTATGGTAGCCTTGAGATTGAAATTAACAAATGGCTCTACAGCAAGCACTTAGATTGTGACACATATAGAGCTCATTCCACGCTGTAGACTCCTCCCTCTTGGTTATTTATTTATTGCGACATCGTAAATCTACCGTAACCTCTTTCCACGACCAATCGGTATAGCCTGAAGAGAAAAGAGCGCAGCACGTTAAAGTTCACTCGCGGGAAGCAGCGAGATTGCCGTTGGACGTGACGAGATGATGGGCAGACATTCAGTAATCGGATAGCAATGGGAGTTCCAATTCTTTTCTGACTTTCAAATGCAAAAGGGATCCATATTTAATTAGTTTCCGAACGTGCTGGATTGAAGTTTGGGAGAAATGAAAAGTTGTATATTCTTCACACTAAACATGAAACGCTCTTCAAAAACATTTGAAGTGAACATTTAAGGTCAAACATCAAGTATGAAGACAAAAGTAGACACCACCAACCAAAATACTATTATTTCAGCCCACTTCATGTTGCCACAAAGTGGGGTCGGACGAATATGGTTGAACTGCTTCTTAAGCATGGGGCAATTATCGACTCACGAACACGAGATCTACTTACACCTCTTCACTGCGCTTCCCGAAGTGGACACGATCAAGTAGTCGATCTTTTACTCGAAAAAGGTGCCCCGATCAGCGCCAAAACGAAGGTTTGTTTTTATTTTTAAAATCAACGGTCCTTAGGTTCGGTAATTAGGGCTAGTTGTGCGAACAATTGCCGTCCTTAGCGAGCATTTCTGCATCGTAAATGGGCAGCTGCAGGTACTAGAGCGCACTTATCGTGATGAGAAGTGGCCCCGTTTACGCTCTCTTACAAAGGACCAGAGCTTCGTTGAGAAATGTGCAGTTTGCTGAATGGGCACACGGGCAATAATGCGGAATCCGGTTTGGTCCAGAAGGGATTGCTGAAGAATTGTTCAGAGGTGTGAAATGCCTCGACTCGGGAATACCCCGATGTCAATTCTCAAGTCTATAGTAAAGCTTGGAGCAGAAGGAATGCTTCAAGTTTAGATGTTTCCTAAGGAATTGATTTCAAATCCAGAGCGCGATCTAAAATCCAAAAATGTCATGGTAATTTCCAGGTTTTGAGATGCGAACTTGCTCTGTTAGATCGCGTGCGCGAAAGGTATCGTAAAAGTGGGATGGGCGCAGCTGAAGCTTTTTTCAAGTTTTTCTTTAGGAGTCCCGTTGAAAAAAAAACAAGGGAACAGTAGGGTGTCAATGATTGCTGAAGCATAAAAACGATTGTCGTTAGCACTGAAGTTGACCATTAAACTTGCCATAAAAGGTCACATTCAAGGGAACGAGTCCGTAGTAATGTCCAGGACTTAATGGTGCGAACAGGCTCTGTTAGACTGCATGTACACGAGGTATCGTAGAGCGCGTGTGCGCGAATAGGTACCGTACATAGGCACTGCTTTAGGGATTAGTTTAGCGAAAGGGTGTCCTTGTGTTGCAAAGTCTGAATAAGATTCGGTCTGATAAACTCCGAAAGGTAGTACGTAGAACAGAAACGTGCAAGAGGTACCCCGACAACTGAACACTGTAGTCTCCACGTGTTCAAGACCTTCTTCGCCTCTCTGTGTTACAACAGTTTGGAAACTCTTCTTCTCCCTAGCGTTAGTCCCGCGCCGTCGCAGGGTCCGCTGTCAACAGTTCGTAGAGTAGTGTTTCAAAATGTGATCATAACAATAGTGAAGCGACTCTGCGATTTCACGGCTTGAACTCCTCTTTCCAGAATGGATTGGCTCCGTTACACATGGCTGCTCAAGGTGATCACGTTGATTCCGCGAGAATTCTGCTCTATCATCGAGCTCCAGTCGACGATGTCACGGTGGACTATTTAACACCATTGCACGTAGCAGCTCATTGCGGACACGTCAGGTGAATTGAGTGAACCAGTGCTAATTCCAAGTCCTTTGTGTTCTGGGTCGACTAGTAATAAATTAACCATTTGAGTGAAACAGAACTTTATGACCCAATTGCTCATCTTGTAAATTTCGGTGTATTTTCTATATGACCACAATAATTGTTAAATTTTTTCAACAAGCTTCAAAAAAATTCTGTAATATTTAAGAGTTGCCAAACTACTCTTGGATAGAAACGCGGATCCAAATGCACGTGCGTTGAACGGATTCACACCGTTACATATAGCGTGTAAGAAGAACAGGATAAAGGTAGGAAATGGCTTGTCATCGTATCCCAAAAGAATGGAAAAGGATGATGGAATGCTTATTTCAGGTTGTGGAATTACTACTCAAATATCATGCATCAATTGAAGCTACTACAGAATCTGGCCTATCACCACTTCATGTCGCTTCTTTCATGGGAGCTATCAATATCGTCATTTACCTACTTCAGCAGGTGAGTGAGCATAGTGTAGAGGCACCGAATAGCCGATTAATAAAAAAGTCGAAGTGGATAGGTGGGGAACTTTGTTATAATAATAAATACGTGAGGGATTCTTGTTGTGGGTTTCTCTTTGTTTTCACAGTGGGTCGAATTTTTTGGATTTGGATGTGTAGCTGTAATGTTAACTGAGCGTTAGATGAGTTTAGTTAATTGATATGCTTCTGTATAGTTTCAAATATCACTCATTTTTGGTTGATAAATGGAATATGAGTCAGTGAAGGAGAAAGCATCTTTAAGGGTGCAAATCCGGATGTGGCAACTGTCCGCGGTGAAACACCCCTGCATCTGGCAGCACGTGCAAATCAGACAGACGTTGTACGTGTTCTCATCAGGAACGGAGCCAAGGTAAACAATTGCAGAAATGAAAGCTTTCTCATGTTGAAATCTGAGATGTTTTTGAATCTCCTCTTATAGGTGGATGCGCAAGCTCGAGAACTTCAAACACCATTGCATATTGCAAGTCGATTGGGTAACACTGATATTGTCGTCCTGCTGCTTCAAGCGGGAGCGAACCCTAATGCTGCTACTCGTGATCAGTACACTCCTCTTCATATTGCTGCAAAGGTTTGCGATCGAATTTTGGTTCCTATTTGGGTGGAGATGAGAAGCGAATACAAATAGCAGGGGAACAGTCCTCTTCATCATTTCCGAGAAACAACATTTTAGGAGGGTCAAGAAGAAGTGGCAGCTATCCTGCTCGACCACAATGCTGAAAAGAATGTACTGACGAAAAAAGGATTTACGCCTCTCCATCTGGCCAGCAAATACGGAAATGTCGAGGTAGAGATGCGGTTATTGGTAGTAGTAGTTCATAATGGTGATTTACGATTGTAATTACAGGTAGCGAAATTGCTACTGGAGCGTGGTACACCAGTAGACATCGAAGGAAAAAATCAAGTCACTCCTCTGCACGTGGCCGCTCATTATAACAACGACAAGGTGAGTCCAACGATACATAAATTGTCCTAGATACATTATATAACTGCAATACTTCAAGGTCGCGATGCTTCTACTCGAACACGGAGCATCAGCCAAGGCAGCGGCAAAAAATGGTTACACGCCACTGCACATCGCGGCTAAGAAGAACCAAATGGAAATCGCCGGGACACTGTTACAGTATCATGTTGGTGCTCTGCCTCTCTTGTTTTATTGTATCTTCTGGTTTTCTACTTCTCATCACTGGTTGTTGTCTGGGAGAAAATAGCGGCGGGCCGAAACATGACGCTGCTTCTACGTGTGGGTACTTTTTCCTAACCTAATAGATGTTTTGCTAAACGACGCGTTGTCGTGATGCGGCTATTTTTTGGATTACCGCGCACCACTTTTTGCGCGGTCGATAGCGTAGCCTTACGAAAGTACTACATTCGCGGCTTCATTCAATACCTAGTGGAGATACACTGTAGAGTGAGGTGTGCTCGATGAATGAAGGATGGTTATATGTAGTTGCCAGCTTTGTGATCGTAACGCTCCTAACAGCTCTTTATGCCGTCACTAGGAGCTCGCTGTTGGTTATGTGGAAGGGTGACCGCGTTTGGTAAAGCAAGTGACGCTTCATTAATAGGCTTTTCTAGAATGCACAGTATTTCCCCAAGCTAAGGCTTGCAACATATAACTTTCCGATGTGAAGTTAACCTTATAGCGTATTGGGACATAATTTGTGTTCCTTCTTTTAGGACTAATCTAACCAGTTGTTTAGGCTGATCCAAACGCGAAATCAAGAGCTGGCTTCACGCCTCTGCATTTGGCTGCTCAGGAAGGTCATCGCGAAATGTCTGCTCTTCTTATTGAGAATGGATCGGACGTTAGTCCTATTTGAATTGTGTAATATATCCTCGTGCCTAGTTTGAATAAGCACACTCTTAAAAAGCATTTGGGCAGGATTGCAAAGTTGCATTTTTAGGTTGGTGCCAAGGCTAACAACGGTCTGACAGCCATGCATTTGTGCGCCCAAGAGGATCGCGTTCCTGTTGCTGAAGAATTGGTTGGTTACAGAATTGCTATCGACATTTATCAAAGGCCAAATAATGTGTTTTACAGGTGAAACACAACGCCGATGTGAACAGTCAGACGAATGCCGGCTACACACCACTTCATGTTGCTTGCCACTTTGGGCAGTTGAACATGGTAATAATTACACAGATTTCCTCAGGAGTTGTATAAATTTGACGTCATTGTTGCCATGAGTGCTTGATTACAGGTCCGTTTCCTTGTTGAACACGGTGCAAATGTTGGCGAAACTACTCATGCGAGCTACACACCATTACATCAAGCTGCACAACAAGGTCACAATCACTGTGTGCGCTATCTACTTGAGCACGGTGCATCGCCGAATGCCCAAACAACGGTGGGAACTCTTCTCCAAGAGCAGATCAAGTTTTGACCAATTTCCAAAATAATTAAAATTTCACTGCGAAATACTTTCAGAACGGACAAACACCGCTGTCGATTGCCCAACGGCTAGGCTATGTTTCTGTCGTGGAAACATTGAAAACAGTGACGGAAACGACAGTCATCACCGAAACAACAACTGTAGCCGATGACCGTTACAAGCCACAGAATCCTGAGGCGATGAATGAAACAATGTTCTCGGAAAGCGAAGACGAAGGTGCCGCTGCAGAACATGAAGCCGCCACTGCTCACGTAAAGGTAAAGCTTTCATTATTCGTAGGATTCTTCATTCGCGTAGGGAGCGCTGCGAATTTGAGAGAAAATAGCAAATGAGGTTGGCTTCTTCTTCAAGCACGCTTCAAGGAGCTTCAATTAATTTCTGCAGTAAAATGTGAATTAAGTCAATATTCAAAATTTCACCTTTCATTTACTTTGAGTGCACATCGAAAACTTGTAATAAAAATGGTTTTTGAACTTGGCAGACTATTTTGGAGCACACTTTTTTTTTATCGATTTTCGCAGAGAAGAGGGGTGTTCAATCTTTTTTGCTGAAAATCCACGTTCTCCAAATGGGGCTTGTGCAGAGTGCATCGCACTGATTAGATTAGACATTCAAAAGCAGTTATTGTACATCGATCAGTTCTCTAGGAAAAGCATATGCAGCTCATCCGCTTAGTGAGCACAATTATTCGGTTGAAAGAAATCAAATCTATTTAACGTCTTTTATTATACATCGGTCTCTAGCACCCCTTATACCCTCTATTTCTTAGTCCCGTTAGAATATTCTCCGTACTCTTTTTTTCGAGTTCTGCTTTCGTTTAACGAAGAACATGTAATTCTAGGACTTCTCCGACACGCTTACACAAGGCTTGGCCGATTCGACGGGAGTGCACATGATTCACACCGGCGAACAGGTACTGCATACATTATGTTATTTCCAGCACCTACAGTGAAGTTGTTTCATTAAAGTTCTTCCGTTCTATGTTATTATCCGTGCCGGGTGTAATGAAGACTATAAAAAGCGGCAGACATTTGTCTGGGGTGCAACGAATCAATAGAGGAATTACGAGGACACCGTGCGCGCGTTTTATCTCGCTCTTTGCTTTGAACTATTAAAATTGTACTGAACGTAGTCCATTTGGGATCACTGGCGTTTTTGAGCACTTCCGGACCAAAACGTGGGGAAAGATCGTTGTGCTAGCTCTATGATTATAATATGAGTCGACATCGTCGACAGTGGAGCTGCCAGAATTCTTTTCACGCTCTTGGGTCGAATCTATCGATGATTGAAACTAAGCAAAGCGCGCACACAGCGGGCGCATCTGGTAATTTGTAAATTAGTAGATATCTATCGCATTATGTCGAAGAACGCTTCCGCCGTCTCGGTCGTCGCGAAATACTACACGCCACTGCCATCGCATGCGCGTTTGTGTATTTTAAACGGTGGTTGACGGGCATATGAGCCGCTGCCACCTTCTGCACTATAGCTCTCATCGTTTTGTGTTTTATATATAGGAACTCCGCTAGCGCTTCATGGTTTTCAATTGTCAACATGCTTTCAGCTATTGTCGAAGAGCGCTGAGTTCGATGGAAGCACCCCGAGAATAGCGACCGTAGCAACGGTCGATGGACCCGACAAGTTAGATGAACTTATCCGAAAGGCACAGGTAATTTTAGTTCTAGTCTATAAGTTTTTAGGAAAGAAAGCGGTCATAAGACTGATTAAAAGCGCATGTACCTTGTTTTCTTTTGGTTTTTGCCGCAACATTTGAAACGAAGCATATGTTGGTGTAAAAATGAACCAAGAGAAGCAGCAATTCAAATAAAGAAAAGTGGGAGGTTGAATGAATAGGTTGACAAAGAAACGAAGGTGATTAGGACAGAAAAGAAATGAAGACTTCTTTTTTGCCGCAGTTGCTGTGATGACCAACTCAATGGACGTCAGCTGACAGATTAATGTGTCATCCGCAAATTTTTTTAGAGTTATTCGTCTCAAGATAGCGATATAGTACTGCTATCCTCTTTTAGGCTCAACCAATGCATACCGCGGTCAACGACACTTCTGTTTTGGATCGCTCATTCACTGCCAATGACAATGTACCCATTGGGCATAATGTGGCCCAACCCAGGTAAACATAATTCACGTTTCTCTACTACCGATATTTCCAACACTTATGTGTACCGAACTGTAGAGTTTTTAGACGCTTGAGTTGTGTGTAAAGTTGTATTTAGAGAGGATTCGATTGATTATTGTTGAATACAAAGTTTCTAGCATAACTAAGACTTACTAAAATGAGTATTTGCAGTAAGCTACAGCACAAGACGTAAGTTGTCATTCAAGCGTAGTGTTGTAGAGATTTGTGAAGCTTATTGTTATATATTGCATGCCTGGGACCCACACACGCGGGCACACACGCTGCCGACGTCCAGAGTTTGTAAACATTGTGCATGGGTGTTTAGAATGTCCTACGCATCAGCTTATTAGCAATCTACATACACACCGCATCGCTGCGCACTTATCTGATCGTTTATAAGCGCCGCTCATATGGAGGTGTCAGTTGTTGTTTGTCTTGTGGTTTTTCTCAAGTGCTATTGGTAGTGGTTGTAAATAGAGTTATTGTCAAGGGCTTAGATGCTTTCACTGTCAGCTAGGATCGCTCACCTTCATACACTGTGCTTAATGCATTCCTCACGTTTTACGGACATGAAACTGAAGTATTATCTGCGAATCCCCCTCAAATATGAGACAAAGTTTCTGGGATTAGCGTCAAACAGACAGCAAGTTTTGAGTTATCCACTAGAGTGGGATTTAAAATGTTGTTTTATTCTGTTTTGTTTCCCAGAAAGGGTTTTGTACTGAGAAGTTGGTAAAAATAGATTTGAGATTAGAGGGCCAGCTATTTCTGTGATGATCGGTTCACGTAGTGGTCGCGAGGAATGATTGCTCACAAATCTGGTAGGACATGGTTGTCAGCATTCGTTGAGAATTGATTAGATTGCGGGAATGTGTTGCGCGCTCAATGGTGTTAGAGCTGTTACGTGGTGTTGTGTTTACCTTTCGTTTCGCATGTAAAACTTCTAGTTTTACATCCGCCAGGAATTAGTTAAGTCATTGTTGCAGTTTTGTTATTTGAAGTGTTTCAAATGTAACTTCTGGTTATCTGCTTGAGTTCTCTAAAAGAATACATTACTGGAATCAATAGCTAAGAGATAAGAGGCGTTTTAGGATGTTTCAGTCTTGTGGTTTACACATAGTATTAGTGCTTTTTGGTACGATAAGTGCGCAGTATGTGCTACATTCAGTTATGTGTGTTCCCTGCAATGCTTCAAAATTTATCCGAATCCATTGCTTTTAGAGTAATTTATTGTTTATTGATACTAGACAACTGCATCGCTCACGAATGATGTTTCAGCTTCTTGATCTCATTTCTGGTAGATGCTCGAGGTGGAGCTATGCGTGGATGCCGCCATTCTGGTGTGCGAATTATTATTCCACCACGCAAAGCCAGCCAACCAATTCGGGTCACGTGCCGCTATCTCAGAAAGGTAGATGAATGGAATAACTATGAAACCGTTCCCAAAAATATGTTTTCTTTTATTACAGGATAAGCTAGCCCATCCACCGCCTCTCAGTGAAGGCGAGGAACTGGCTTCGAGAATACTTGAGATGGCACCAGCTGGTGCCAAGTTCCTCGGACCAGTCATCCTAGAAGTTCCACATTTCGCATCTCTTCGGGATCGCGAACGTGAAATAGTCATCCTGCGTTCTGATGACGGCCAACACTGGAAGGAGCACCAGCTCGAAGCTACAGAAGACGCAGTACAGGAGGTGCTTCACACATGTTACAATTCATTGTGATCTTCTTGACAACCAGTAGAAGTTACATATTCTGTTCAGCCTAAGGTAAAGTTGTAGTCGTTCCAGGTGCTCAACGAGTCGTTTGACGCGGAAGAATTGGCTCAGCTTGATGATCTCCATACTCCAAGAATCACCCGTATACTCACGAATGATTTCCCTATGTACTTTGCTGTAGTTACACGAGTTAGACAAGAGGTAAGCGTGTTTCAGAACCTATACTTGCAGGTTTAAACCAATCACCAACAAAATCCCCATCATTTAGGTTCACTGCGTTGGACCAGAAGGAGGTGTGATCATGTCATCGGTGGTGCCTAGAGTACAGGCAATCTTCCCAGATGGGTCGTTGACGAAGACGATCAAGGTATCAGTACAAGCACAACCTGTTCCGCAAGATATGGTCACCCGGCTTCATGGTAACCGTGTGGCGGTCTCACCGATTGTGACTGTCGAACCACGTCGCAGGAAATTCCACAAACCTATCACACTCTGTATCCCCCTCCCACAAAGCAGCAACAAGGTAGGTTCAAGTTTTTCTGATCATTCAAAAATTCATAGTTGAATACCTTCAATTGCAGGGAATGCTAACACAGTATTCCGGACAGCCTGGTCAAGAGCCGCCAACTCTTCGTCTTCTCTGCTCAATCACTGGAGGCTCGGCTCCTGCACAATGGGAGGACATTACTGGTACAACCCAGCTTACATTCACTGGGGATGAGGTGATTAGTGTTCCTGGTAGATTCAAAGGTTTGAGATATTCAGCTTAAAATTTCCTCTTGGCAGGTCTCGTTCACCACAACAGTGTCGGCTCGATTCTGGCTGATGGACTGTCAGACTCCTCGAGATGCTGCAAGAATGGCTCAAGAGGTCTACAACGAAGCCATTTGTATTCCATACATGGCGAAATTTGCTGTGTTTGCTAGAAGAACATTCCCTGTTGAGGGTCAACTGAGGTACAACGGCTATCTTCAAAAGTCACATCAATTATATTTATTGTCACCTATTCAGAGTGTTCTGCATGACTGATGACAAAGAGGACAAGACTCTCGAGAAACAAGAACATTTCAAGCTAATAGCAAAGTCACGTGATGTTGAGGTTTGGGATTATCCACAGCGTTGCTCACCAAATTCTGCTAACATATCCCCTTCAAAAACTGTTTTCTGTTTAGGTGCTAAAGGGCAAACACCAGTTCCTTGAATTCGCTGGAAATCTTGTACCAGTGACGAAGAGTGGTGATCAGCTGAGTCTGTATTTCCTGCCCTTCCAGGAGAATCGCCTTGCGTTCATGGTCAAGGTATAGTGGCAATTACTAATCATCTACTTATCATATGCTTTTGAAGGAGTGCTGATCCGAATATTTACATTTTAATTATAGACTCGCAATAAGGATGATACAGAGGCATCTACCGAAGGAAGAATAGCCTTTATGTCTGAACCTAAGGTGGGTATATTCGAAATCATTATGAGTGTTATTAAACATCATGTTTCGTTTTTCAGATCCGTTCTGAATCGCTACCTCCTCAGCAACCAATTTGTACTCTTGCCATTTCCTTACCAGAATACACCGGTGAGACCCCGAAAATTGTGGTGAAGAAGGATACAACGCCATTCGAAGTGAAATATCGTGGCGTACTGGATAAAGTAGGTGCTTTCACGTTTATCCCCTCCACGGAAGTTTTCTATTGGTTCTTGTTCAGGAGTTGCCCGACTATGTGCACACCAATGTAATAAAAGGCGTTGGCGCAGACTGGCAGCGATTAGCACGCGCCCTCGAACTTCCACATAGAGATATTCAATATATTCGTCAGCATTATCCGGGCAAGGAAATTACGAACGTGCTAAAGATATGGATTCATTTGAAGAAAGAAGAAGCCAGCCGTGAGTTTCGCTTGTAATCTTACCTTCACTAATATACGATTGAGAGCAATAATTCTTTTATTTGTGCTTATGCTTTGTACTGATAAATCTTTTGTTTTCAGCTGAGCGCTTAGATAATGCGTTACGTCGTATTGGACGTGATGATATTGTCCGCAGTATCGCGCACGGCGAACCAGACTCACTCAGTTATGGAAACGGAAGCGACTCACCAGCCAGCAAACGATTCGATCCACCAAAATATGTCGATCTGCCACCCACCATCATCCAAAGGTAGGAAAGAATCAGCGCATTTTTGAGTCTGCAAACAGTATTGTTTATCTGGGTTTTTGTAGGACGTTTGACGCACCAGCAGCTGTTAGCCGGCACACAATTCAACATGAGGAGGCTATGATAGAGCATCCAGCTAAAGAGGTCAGTGTGTTGCAGATGTCAATGCTTAAAGCTGTGTTCGCGCTGTAATGTTCAATTTTTTTGCGTAATGTGAAGGCTAGGATGCCACTTTTGTGGCAAAAAACGGCGTTAGGGCTTCTTAGCAAGCACGGAGAACTTATCCTCTTGGTTTATCTACGCGGTCGTGCCTCTCGATAATAATATCCTTTGATTTCTTTTTCGGCTGGAAAACGGGCAAACGTTGGACAATGGGAGGGTGCGGGTGTTCGTAGCGCGATTCCCAGCTTTTTTCGCATAGAGCCAAGTTCTTATGGAGAACATATGTTGGCTATGGCGATTATTGAATTTCCCAACTTTACTTATAAACTTACACGAAATTGCGTATACCTCGTGAAAATTTTCTAGAGAAGTCAATAAACTGATGACTTGAGAGAAACACCGCTGTTAAGTGCAAATTGGTCCTACCAGCGCCGGGCTCCTCAAATGTAAACAACATAAAACGTCCTTGGATTTCATGATTTAGAGCTCATTAGTAGGAATTTATTTAGACGTATATTTCCGTATATTTAAGTACACAGCAATGATTTTCATTATTTCTCCAAAGGTCGATAATAACCTGTTTATTGACCATGATTTGAGCAAACGCTCACTGCTTTTATGCTTCAGGTGATTTCTACCGGTTCTGCTGGTTACGAATACACTCCAAAACTTCCGACTGCGGCACATGTGGAGACGTTAGTTGAGGAACCGGAAAGGGCTAAGGCCACGATTCCAGAAGGTAGACTTTGCTTCTTTTTTTGCCACATTGCAACCGATCTTCATCAGTCTTTTAATCCCTTTTCATCATTAAAATTGTATTATAGAAGAAGAAACCGTCTCAGAAGTTCGAACAGTTGTTCGGACTGAACGCCATGTGCATGACACCGAGGATGGTCCCGTAGTGGAAGAACGAACAATTACCACCACATATGAGGATGATGTAGCGGTAAACGAGCACATTGTGGACCGAACCGTGCCACTCAACGAAGAGGAGCACAGAAAGTGGGTTTTATCTTAAGCTGCTCTGAAATTGTTTGTACTAATTTGACAAAAAGTGTACTGCACTTCTCACATAAAATTCTTTCAGATGGGAGGAACTGAATCGCCTAGCTGGTCATAAAGCTTACATTAACGAAGGACAAGAGGAGCCGTTACCGGAAGGAATGGCGCAGGAAGTTGATACGGAAAAGTATACGGAACCCGATGGCACAGTAGTTACCACGACTACGATCACCAGCCATTACACTTCGCGTATGTTTTATTCTTTTGGTTAATTAATACTACTGCACGCATCTTTTCACTACAAATTCTAATATTCCCTGGAGTTAGTGCACCTTCGTCACCCCAACGGTCCTTTTGTGTTGAAAATCCCGCACTTAATATACTGCTAAACGGTTAATGATTGTGACTTGACATTAACTATCTAACAGTCGCCACCGGGTAACATCGTTTGATCGTATTCGTAATTCTACCATATCAAGAAACAGTTCTTCAATTCATTTCTGTCTAAACCCACCGTTTCCCAACGGTAATAAAGTACAAGATGTATAGATTAGCATGCAACGATAGGTGCTGTGAGGGACCGTTAATACCGTACCGCGGTAGCTAAACGACCCAATACCTTTGGGAGGCAATAGGACCACTGTTCAGGCTTAGCAACTAGAGCCACCATGTGGAATGGCCTGGGGCGACAATCAATCGATGTAGTTGTAATATTTGCCCACGCTCTCGAAAAGTTTGAAACCATCAATCAAATAATGGGAACGTTCTTTATTGATTTATGGATTAGGGGTGGGCGACATTTCCATTGACAGATATTGATTTTTGCAGAGTCGCCCGCCCCTATCTCTGAGGAGGACGAAGAGGACGAGGACGCCGTGCAAGGTAGCCGCTGATCGATTCAAAAGTGGAATCGTTATTGTATTTGATACATATATACATTGATGATACACTACAATATATAATATATTTTAAATGACACTGCATCACTGTATGTCCTTAACACTACTACTACTACTGCTACTACTATCTAGGCATAGCGTTGCTGTCTAATTGCACCAATACCTTGTTTTTAATTAATACAGTGCAATAGGCGCTGGTGGTTGCTTGTTCTGTTTCGCTGCCCCTGCTTAATAAACCTCTCTGTGTCCTTGAAAATTAACTTGGCTTTATCCGCAAAATGCGTGCTCGATGAGTGGGAAGCTAGAGGGGTGTGTCAGCTGTTTCGATGCTGGCGCACAACACAAGTGAAGTCACATCTCCAGTATGTCCACCTGGAAACCAGTCGTTGCCGGCGTCACCGAGTGCGGTGAGACGATTTGCTCCGGAATCGTAACCGCGGACAACGGCACCTCTTCACAACAAGTTCATCATGTGTCAACATTGAATAAGTACGAAGCGGAGCACTGGAGTGGTGAGCACGCCGATGAGCATCATCACACAGACGACGACGTTTTCTCCCATTCTGCCCATCCAGGTGGCGACGAAGAAACTACGGCACCTCACGACGAGAACACGCCCATCGCGAGCAGTGAGCAGTTCGAACGCAATCGGAGCGCCTCACTAGCCGCGGCTCTATTAGAGATCGACCCAAGAGGTACTCCACAAGTCGGGTTTTTCCATCCTGCAAGTGTCGCACCGCTTCTGGAAGCTGAAGAATCGGAAGAAGGAGTGCCTATTCCTGTAACCATTGAAACTGAGCCTGCGGGAACAGCCGAGCAAGAGGTCGGTGACGCTGAACGTGTACTTTCTAAACTCCTACTATCACTTCGCGGGCTGAAAATGGCAGCGCCAGATCGCTATAGTGCTGCTGTCAGTCGACTGAGAGATTTGGAAGAAGAACTAAGGACGGCCGGAGCAGTAACGCCTGCGGATCCACAAGTCGCCGACGCTGTTGCTAGAGCACTCGCCGCTGCAGGAACTGAACGTGATCTACAAATCAGAGTGAACCAGAGCAGGCATACAACTACGACGAAGACGGTGTATGAGACGGAAACGCCTGGCATGGTTGGATTGGAGCCAGATAAGATTCGTGAACTTCATCAGCAGATGCTGAGCAGCCTAAGTTCGCTTTTGAGCTGTCTTTCATTTAATCATCAGTTTCGGAAGTATCAAGTTTTTGTAGATAATACGTAGTTGATTTTTATCCTCGTAAGAAGAAATAAGAGAAGGGTGAAACAGAGCAAGCACCCAAAAAATCTTTTAGAAGTCAATTAATACTTTTAAACCCTCAAAAATAGTTGATGTTTCCGTTTTTCAGCATCTGGTGCACCGGACGCAACTCCTGAATCCGGTAAGTTTCAGCCAACATTCTCTAGCGTTTCTTGAGAGATTTCTGTTTGATTACAACCGCACTGGATTTGTTTGCATTAGAGTCCAATGCCAGTGTAGATCTATCTGTGCGCTTTGGTATGTATGAACCACTTAGTTTCTGTTTTTAGGAACGACACAGAAGAAAGAAACAGCTGAGGAAGGGTTTACAAATGAAGATGGCTCGGTAGTTGTCTCGAAAAAGATGACTCGCGTGGTCACAACAACTAAGACTACTCTTCCTGGTTAGTAGGTTATCTAAATTTTTTGCCTAGTTTGACTGTAAATAGCCAATTTCTGACCAATCTCTCCGTACCTTGTAAAAAGCAATTGTTTATCTCACATAACATATCTTAGTCGACTCTGTAACTCGGGGTTCAGTATTTCGATAGGTTTACTTTTTGTTATGAATCGTTTCTCAAAGGAGGGATTCTACCCGCTTAAATCATACAGATGCGAAGCATATGGTCCATTTGGAATATTGATTGGAACATTTTGTGTAAGTTGAGCAGTTCGGCAAAACATCACGGCATTACAGCACAATCGACAGCCTCTCAGCTATTACTGAGCGAACAGCACACAGCAGTGTAGAGAGGTCATTTTGAAAGGCTAACCCATGTCAGGAGCAGCTCAAGCAGGACCGTCACTTTTTAACAACCATTTATGGTCGAGACTTTGCGAAACATTTCCTCAGTGTTTTACTGTCAAGCAAGGGAAAAGCTGCGGTTTTCAAAATGGTCCGCCCAAGTTCGTGTCACTTTGACCGAGCAAACCTTTCAATGACTGGCGAGTCATTTTCCTCATGATTAGCAACGCTTAAGACGTCAAAACTTGAGAAGATTACACTTCATTCGACTGCCCTGCCACTTTCGAAACCATTGTGGATTACAAAGTTTTCGAACCTCGACTGCTCTTTACAACACCAGTCTGTGGCGAAACCACGCTCATTGTATTCGAGTGTAGCGACTAGTTCATTCTGTGGCGATGGATAAAGCATCGAGCGTTGATCAATCTCTTTCTAAAATCCAACGCACTCTACTCAAACTCGGAGTCGTAGGAGCTTTAAAAGATTTGACCTGGACGACTTTCAGACGTCGCCTATGTACAAGTAATGTTTTCTATCCTCCCAGGCGAGTCTGGTATCATTTGACCGATCCCGGAGATGAAGGGCTAGGCTGGCTTGTTAGAGATTTGACCGATTTTTGACCACTGGAGGGTGAGTATAGTAAGGTTACCCTACCAATGCACTCTACCGTCTTTATCATTTCGGAAGGGTATCCCGAAGTATTCCAGGCAAAGTCACAACCTCATTTGAATATCAAAAGTTGTGTTCTTGTTTTCTTAACCGTTTTATGGTATTGGCGCCGTTGTAGATGGGATACGCGAAATAGGCAAATATTGATTGGTCATTTCGTGGGAACATGTGGAATGCAAATTCATACCTTTTGAATTTCTACAAAGACGTCTATAAGTTTTGGAAAGGGCTCCGATTTAAAACCTGAAAGGCTCGGCTTTTTTAAAAATGTCTTTGAGGTGACCCATGCGCTCGACATCCACAACCTAATGTGGAACGTGTCTGAGGAGAGGAAATGTGGGGTAGGAGAGAATACTTGGCAAATAAGATAGGGATTGGAGGCTCAGCCACTGCAGCTGTTCAATCCACGGGCCTTGGTTTTTGTGCTAAGGCGCCGCCAACAATAGTGAGTACTCCAAATTAGAAACATTCAGGGTTTATTTTGTAGTTTTGGAGTAGAGATGCGGTGTAGGTCGATATCGATGAGAAAAGGCGAAGAATCATTGGAAATGTCGAAATCGGGGCAACCCTTTTTCTATACGCTAGCGAGATTTTTAGGTCAGACACGGAGATGAGAGATGCCAGGCGCCAAGGGAAGAAAAGTGTCGGAGGCAGGAGAGCATGGATACGAACGAGGGCGAAACTATTTCAATTAATGATCGAGACCCGGATTTAGGTGGAGTTAGGTGTAGCTTAGCGTGCATTCTAAGGCCTTAGCAGCTCTGCTAGCAATTTGTGTGGCGATGTCAATGAATGCTTGTGCGCACATACCGCTGCACCTTCACAGGACTGGAGCTTCACCCAGTGACCTGATTGGGGTGTGCCCTCAAATGTACGCTGGATTTAAAAAAACTCTGTTATTTTTTCTGACCCTAGCTGTAATTATGTGATCACTTTTCATCTACTCAATGTTAGCCTATTTCAGGTGAAGGCGAACAAGCTCCTGGTGAGTGACGAGGCTGACTGCCCCGTATCCACTGATTCGTGTCGTACAGTGGAGTCTTGTGCTACATTGGCTTCTGCTTTTGTTTTAGTTTATTCAGTTCCCTTTCTGTACTGTATACTCAAGATTCCGCAAAAACTTTCATACATATGGCTCATTTGTAATTACCTGCAGAATCTTGAGTAATAACATAAAGCTTCTAACTTTACCTAAAACTGCACAAACACGTAAGCAGGTACATTACACTGCATCTTAAATGTACTGCTTACTCTAGGGCATGCCTAGGAAATGGTGCACCTCCTGTGTTAATGCCGCCCATGCAAGTGGTCTTTTTCATGATAGTCATGTTGTTTTTTTATGACGTATAGTGAAAAGTATAGTAATATTATCCTGACAGCCTACTCGTCAAAATCTACACCGCTCATCGCTGACTACTGCTAGAAGATCGACACCACTCATCATCAGCATAGCTTTGTGATGCTTCTCCTTTCGCAGCTAGTGCTTTTTGATGTTTCAACTCTGCTTCTTCTCCGTCTCTAGTCTCCACTTCTGGATACAAGATCACGCACAAATTGCGTTGCATACGTAATCATGTTGTGTTGAATAAAGCGAAAATGAATGTGGTACGTAATGCCAGAATGTCGTATGGTGGTAGTGAATGCAAATGTGTAATAAATGAAAATCTTTGCACTTCTGTAAATAAAATCATCATGAAGAAAAGCAACGGTTACGAACTGTGCGCTGACGTAATGACGAACATTAAATTTACTTAGCTTCAGTAGCTTCGGTACTTTTGAGGCTCTCTAAGAATTTTTACATTTGATTCGTGTATGCACATAGTGCAATCTAGTAGGCTAAGTAAAAGTGTAACGCATTGTCGCGCCGACACCGATCACCTGCAAAGCCCGTCGTAAAAACAGTAGACCCCATTTTCATAATGTGACCATAGCACTATCGGAAGGAATTGTGCTCAGAAGGGTCGTATTAGGACAGCGTCCCAAGAAGGCCAGCATTCTATCAGACGGCTGTACGCCCTGTAACCTTCACGCTTGTTGCTCGGCATAGTTTGTCGTTAGGACTTTAGTGATATGAAGCTGAGTTGGAAAACCTTCACAAGACCATTTTCAATGGCAGAAGGTTACCATAGTATGATTATATCCATTTTTTCTAGTGACATTACTGGGAACCACTCTAGGGTCTTCTTCTCCGTAGCGTTAGTCCCGCGCAGTCGCAGGTCCGCTGGGAAACCACTGTAGGGTAGCAGCAGAAAGTGAGCACTACAGCGAAGGCCTGTAGGATTCGTCACATGTGAATCATCTACTCCGAATAATAGAGGCAACTAAGTTTGTGCAGCCAAGCAGAAAATAGTCCATCGTGAAAGTGGTTGTGTTTCGTTCAAATATGAAGAGGCAGTACAAGACCCTTCAATGGTCGATGGGAGGAGCTAAGCAATAAAAAAAACTTCAAAAGCTAGTGGGATAGTACGTGCTCTATTCGAGTTTTCAAGGGATTTAAGGGTGAAGTGCGTTTATTGTTCCCCGCATGGCAGAAGGTCGATCGATTCACCCTCGAAATATAATAGCTTGGTAAGCGTGACTAATCTGTGGTTAGACAAGTGGCTTGAATTCAGACCATTTTCTTCTTCCCAGGTATCAATAAGTAGACATGGGGGAGTGTGAACTTTGAATTGTTTAGTCGAAATTCTACTCTACGCTGCAATTCTCAAAGTTATGGCTTTGCTTCGCCACAGAGCGAATTCTGAAGCGCGAGTCCCAACGTTCTTCCTCTACAAATGCTATAAATTCGAGACGTAGGCTTTGGAAGGGACGCTCAAAATGGCAATGGTCTCACCGGGTTATTCCTAACATCGACCAGGGACACGGATACAGTCCATTACCTTTGGAAATCCCTCGCCTAAAGATCAGCGAAATGATGCCACAACATCACGTGATGCAGTTTGTCCGCAAAGTCCATTGGCAGAAGCATTTCGTATCTACTGCATTAACAGTATACATGTTTTAGTAGTTATGAATTGCATAGAAAGGCCTATTTCAATCTAGCATCAACCACAACAACACGATTTTTTGATAAAATAACGATCCTCAAAGTTGCGCAATATTCGTCCACGAACTCTTATATTTTTGATTTGTTTTGTGCAATCAATGCTAAATAGACGGGGCAGATCTCATAGCACTGTGTTAAAATTTGGTAAGATGTGACGTAAAAATGGCAGTAATGTTGCAATGCACAACTGGCAGCATTCTAGTGGACTATAGCATGCACAGATAATTTAGCCAATCATAAATATTTGCATGTAGTTTCTGTATGTGCACTGCATGTGACTTTGTTCCACTGAACTAATCTTGCGTTCTGAGTTGAAGATGGACTTCTGGCGGAACCACTGCAGCTTGTGAATTGAAAATGTTTCGATTGGCACCAACGACAAGTAGGATGGGAAGTAGTCCAGAGTTCTGTCACTCGGCGAGAAAAATTTGGGAGTGGGAAACCGGGTAACCATGAGTACACTCCTTTCACTTTGATGAGGCCAATCGATAAATGTAGAACTAGTAAGCAACTGTGTTTGCATACATTTTAATGGAAAGCGGTGCCGTTCGGGATCCATCGTCAACCAGAACTGGTCCTAATTGCATCTAAATATGAATGATGAAAATAATTTTGCTTTTGTTTAGAGTCACCAACAGCCACGTACGGCTCGGTGCGTGAAAGGATAGCACGATTTGAATCACTGCAAGATGGACAAGTAAAGAAGACGTCACCCGAGAGACTATCAGTCGATATCGTCGTTACACCGGGGACTCCGGTACCCGAATTGGAATCAGATCATGAAGATATCACCCAAGAGCCTCTCAGTCCCTCCATAGAATCGGAGGTATCTCAGGCTGAGGTGAAAAGTTCACCTTCATATAACGGTGAAGATTTTATGACAAGATCGCAAGAAGAAACACAGCAACAACAGAAAAAAGCAGTCGAGGAGGCAGATAGGAAACCTCCAGACGATAAAACAACTATCGCAAAGGGAATAGTAACAGTTTTCGATGAGCAGCCCAGAACGTTCATTGAAAGAACTATAGAAGAAATAGTCCAGCTAGAGGAACGATCCGAATCTCCTCAAGATATTTTGGAAGGAGGGCGCCTAGAGGAACAGACAAAGCCTAGTGAAGAGCAACTTGTTGCGCTTCCGCAGGAACAGGTAGCACCCGAAACCAAAAAATTTGACGAAAATCTATATGATGAAGGAACACCGATGTCAGCGGAATATACCCCTCCAGTAGACATGACTAGAACGAAGGAGGAAATAGCTGATCTATCCTTGGAAGATCAAGAATATCGTACTGTTAAGAAAACGGTTACCACAATCACCACTACCCGCTATATGGAACTACCGGATGCTGCAACGGCAGAAGAAGAGGAAGTGAAGTCTACGGAGCCGCCATCAAAATACGAACAACCTTACGAAATCGCGGAGGAAATTCCTGCTGTGACAAAGACAGTCACTACGGTCACCACAACACGATTAATAGAAATACCAGAGATGACTCGCACGGAAGTTCTCAAGGAAGAATCTCCGGAACATGTAGAGCCTCCAGAGAGCAGACACATTTATGAGGAATACCCAGACGCAGCAGAAACTACTATCACCACGACTCGTTATGAAATCCCAACTAGTACTGGAGACATCGATGATCGACTGGGTGGTGAGCGCACCAAGGAGCAGGATGTCATCAGTGCACAAGACAATGAAGAATACCCAGCAGTTACAGAAACCATCACCACCACTATACGTTATGAAATAGCAGAAAGACCAACAGCGGTTGAACCCACCACTCAATACGAAATGGGTAGCCCTGAAGAGTTCGAGAAGCGAATGGAAGAAGAAGCTCGCAAGCCAGCAGAATCTCCTGTTGCAGCACTGGAGGGTGAGGATATCCGATCGTTACGGAAACGATCACCACTACCACTCGATACGAGATGGAGAGTCCTGAAGAGTTCGAGAAACGAACAGAGGAAGAACCTCGCAAGCCAGCAGAATCTCCTGTTGCAGCACCGGAGAGTGAGGAGTATCCGATCGTTACGGAAACGATCACCACCACCACTCGCTACGGAATGGAAACTCCTGAAGAATACGAAAAGCGAATGGAGGAAGAACCTCGCAAGCCAGCAGAATCTCCTGTTGCAGCGTTGGAGGGTGAGGAGTATCCGATCGTTACGGAAACGATCACCACTACCACTCGATACGAGATGGAGACTCCGGAAGAATAAACGAGAAACGAAGGAGAGAAGCGTCGCAAGCCAAGCAGAATCTCCTGTTGCAGAGCTGGAGGAAGGTGAGGAAAATCCAATCGTTACCGGAAACGATCACCACTAGCCAATCGCGATACGAGAAATGGAGAGTCCTGAGAGTTCGGAGAACCGATAGAAGGAAGACCATCGCAAAGCCAGCAGAATCTTCCTAGTGCAGAGCGGAGGGTGAAGAGTACCCACTGTAACAAGACAACGCGTCATCTACCACCCGATACGAGATGGGAGTCCTGAAGAGCTCGAGAACGAAATAGAGGATAAACCTCCGCAAACAGCAGAATCTCAAATCCTGCCGCTGAACGTGAAGAGTATCCAGTCGTAACAGAGACCGTCACCACCACCGGATACGAGATGGAGACTCCAGAAGAATAGCGAAGAAAGGCGAATGGAGAGAACCCGCAGCCAGCAGAATTGCCTAGTTGACAGCACTGGAGGGTGAGGAATATCCCAGTCGTTAGGGGAAAACGAGTCAGCCAACTACGCCACTCGATAACGAGATTGGAGACTCCCGAAGAAATACGAGAAGCGAATGGAGAAGAACGCGTCGCAAGCAAAGCAGAAATCTCTCTGTTGCCAGCAACTGGAGGGTGACGGATATCCAATCGTTACCGCGAAACGATGCACCAACTAACGGCACTGCGATAGCGAGATGGAGCGTCCTGAAAGAATACGATAAGCGAAATGAGAAAGAACCTCCCACAACCAGCTAAGAATCTCCTGTTTGCAGCACTGGAGGGTGAGGAATATCCATCGTTACGGCGAAACGATCCCACAGCAACACTCGATACGAAATGGACGCGTCCTGAAGAAAATACGAAGAAGCGATGGAGGAAGAAACCATACCCCAACCAGCAGAATCTACCCAATCATGCCGCTGAACGTGAAGAGTACCCAGTTCGTAACAGAGCCGTCACCACCCCGATAACGAGATGAGAGTCCTGAAGATTTCGAAAGAAACGAATAGAGGAAGAACCGTCCCGCAAGCCAGCAGAATCTCCTCTGTTGCGGGCAAGCCCGGAGGGTGAGCGAGTACTCCGATCGTAACAGGAAACCGTCACGCCGAACTACTCGATAACCGAGATGGAGAGTCCTGAGAATACGAGAAGCGAATGAGGAAGAAACGCTCCCAAACCAGCAGAATCTCCTGTTGCAGGGCACTGGAGGTGAGGAATATGCCAATCGTTACGGAAATCGATCACCCACCACCACATCGATAAACGAAAAATTCGGAGCGTCCTGAAGAATACGAGAAGCGATGGAGGAAGAACCCCCAAAATCCAAGCAGAATCTCCAATCAACTGCCAGCTGAAAGCCGTGAAGAGTATCCAGTCGTACAGAGGTCAGCCACGGCACCAGGATAACGAGATGGAGACATCCAGAAGAATACGAGAAGGCGAATGGAGGAAGGAACCTCGCAAGCCAGCAGAATCTCCTGTTGCAGCACTGGAGGTGAGGAATATCCGTCGTTAACGGAAACGATCCACCACTACCGAACCGATACGAGATGGAGACTCCCGAAGAATCGAGAGCGAATGGAGGAAAGTAACCTCGCAAGCGCAGCAGAGATCTCCATGTTGCAAGCACTGGAGTGAGGAATATCACAATCGTTACGACGAATCAACGCACTACCGCACTCGGTACGAGATGGAGACTCCTGAAGATTCTCGAGAAAAGCGAATAAGAGGGAAAGAACCTCGCAACGGCCAGCAAAATCTCCTGTTGCAGCACCCGGAGGGTGAGGAGTATCCGATCGTAACGAAAACCAGTCCCGAACGAACTACTCGATACGAGATGGGAGTCATGAAGAGATTCGAGAAAACGAATAGAGGAAGAAACGCTCACAAGCCAGCAGCAATGCTCCTGTTGCAGCGTTGGAGGGTAAAGCAGTATCGAAGATCCGTAACAGAAACGATACCATTACCACTCTCGATACGAAATGAGAGTCCTGAAGAAAAGTTTCGAGAAACGAAAGTAGAGAAGAACCCTCGGCAAGCCAGCAGAATCTCCAATCAACTGCCGCTGAACGTGAAGGTATCGCAGTCTGTAACAGAGACCGTCACCCACCACCTCGATACGAGATGGAGACTCCAGAAGAATACGAGAAGCGAAATGGAGAAGAAACCTGCAAGCCAGCAGAATCTCCTGTGCAGCACTGGAGGGTGAGGGAATATCCATGTTACGGAAACGATCACCAACTACCACTCGGTAAGGCGAGATGGAGACTGCCTGAAGATTTCGAGAAACGAATAGAGGAAGAACCTCGCAAGCCAGCAGAATCTCCTGTTGCAGCACCGGAGAGTGAAGAGTACCCACTCGTAACAGAAACCGTTACGACACCCACCCGATACGAAATGGAAACTCCTGAAGAATACGAGAGGCGAATAGAGGAAGAACCTCGCAAGCCAGCAGAATCTCCTGTTGCAGCACCGGAGGGTGAAGAGTATCCGATCGTTACGGAAACGATCACCACCACCACTCGCTACGGAATGGAAACTCCTGAAGAATACGAGAAGCGAATGGAGGAAGAACCTCGCAAGCCAGCAGAATCTCCTGTTGCAGCGTTGGAGGGTGAGGAGTATCCAGTCGTAACAGAAACCGTCACTACCACACGATTCGAGATGGAGAGTCCTGAAGAGTTCGAGAAACGAATGGAGGAAGAACCTCGTAAGCCAGCAGATGAATTTGAGAAGCACTATGAGTTGGAATCGCCGAAGCCAGCAGAGCTCCCAGTGACCGGGGCTGAACAAGAAGAGCGAGAGGTGATCAGCGCTGCTGCATATCATGAAGGACCAGGAGAAGAAGAATATCTACTTGACGAAAAGACAATGGAGCCATCAATTGGTGACAGACTTGCAAGATTCGCAGGGAAAGCTGCCAAAATCGCTGGTGGTGCTGTGGTTGCTCCAGTGGCGTTAGCTGCCATGGGTGCAACAGCAGCGTACGAAGCAATAACAAAGAAAGAAGGTGAACCCCTTGGAATGGTCGTTGAAGGTCGAATGCTTCCAGAGACTGAAGAATATGAAAGAGATTTAGAAGACAGGACAGCACTAGAACATCCGCCTGGCACAGAAGGAGTGTTGGAGAAGAGAACTGAATCTCCAAAACCAGCAGAATCTCCAATCACTATCGCTGAACATGAAGAACATCCATTCGTAACAGAAACCGTTACGACAACCACTCGATACGAGATGGAGACTCCCGAAGAATACGAGAAGCGAATGGAGGAAGAACCTCGCAAGCCAGCAGAATCTCCTGTTGCAGCATTGGAGGGTGAGGAATATCCGATCGTAACAGAAACCGTCACGACGACTACTCGATACGAGATGGAGAGTCCTGAAGAGTTCGAGAAACGAATAGAGGAAGAACCTCGCAAGCCAGCAGAATCTCCTGTTGCAGCACCGGAGGGTGAAGAGTATCCGATCGTAACAGAAACCGTCACGACGACTACTCGATACGAGATGGAGAGTCCTGAAGAGTTCGAGAAACGAATAGAGGAAGAACCTCGCAAGCCAGCAGAATCTCCTGTTGCAGCACCGGAGGGTGAGGAGTATCCGATCGTAACAGAAACCGTCACGACGACTACTCGATACGAGATGGAGAGTCCTGAAGAGTTCGAGAAACGACCGGTACGAGATGGAGACTCCCGAAGAATTTCGAGAAACGAATGGAGAAGAACTCGCAAAGCCACAGAACTTCTCCTGTTGCAGCGGTGGAGAGATGACGAGTATCCGATCGTTACGCAAACGAGCACCACTTACCACTCGATACGAGATGGAAGACTCCGAGAATTCACGAGACGCAATGGAGGAATGAACCTCGCCAAGCCACGCCGAATCTCCTGCTTGCAGCGCGGGAGTGCGTGGGAGTATCAGCTCGCAACAGAAACCCGTCACTACCAACCACGATTCGAGATGGAAGTCGCTGAAGAATTTCGAGAAACGAATAAGGAGAACTCTTAAGCCGTCAGAATCTCCATAGTTGCAGCGGGTGGAGTACTAAGAGTATCGGATCGCCTAACAGAAACGATCAAACCACTACCACTCGATACGAGATGGAAGTCCTGAAGAGTTCGAGAAACCGAATAGAGGAAGAACCTCGCAAGCAGCAGAATTCTCCAATCACTGCTGCTGAACTGTGTAAGATATCCAGGCTAACAGAAGACCGTCACCACCACCCGATACGAGATGAGAGGCCTGAAGATTCGAGACGAATAGAGGAAGAACCCGCAAGCCAGCAGGAATCTCCTGTTGCTAGCCACCGGAGGGTGAGGAGTATCCGATCGTAACAGAAACCGTCACGACGACTTACTCGATACGAAGATGGAAGGTCCTGAGCATGTTCGAGAAACGAATAGAGGAGGAACCTCGCAAGCAGCAGAATCTCCTGTTTGCCAGCGTTGGGGAGGAAGCGAGTACTATCGTAAACAGAACGATCACCACTACCACTCGTATACGAGATGGAGAGTCATGGAAGGTTCGAGAGAAACGAAAAGAGGAAGAACTCGCCAACCAGCAGAAATCTTCCAAACACTGCCGCTGAATCGTGAAAAAGAGTATCCAGTCGGAACAGAGACGTCACCACACCCCGATCACGAGATGGAGCAGTCCTGAAGAATTCGCAGAAACGAATTAGAGGGGAAGAACTCGCAAGCCAGCAGAATCTTCCGTTGCAGCACGAGGTGGGCAGTATCCGAAATCGTAACAGAAACCTCACGACGACTACTCGATACGAGATGGAGAGTCCTGAAGAATACAGGAGAGCGGAATGGTTTACGAGATGGAGACTCCCGAAGAATACGAGAAGCGAATGGAGGAAGAACCTCGCAAGCCAGCAGAATCTCCTGTTGCAGCACTGGAGGGTGAGGAATATCCAGTCGTTACGGAAACGATCACCACTACCACTCGATACGAGATGGAGACTCCCGAAGAATACGAGAAGCGAATGGAGGAAGAACCTCGCAAGCCAGCAGAATCTCCTGTTGCAGCACTGGAGGGTGAGGAATATCCAATCGTTACGGAAACGATCACCACTACCACTCGATACGAGATGGAGCGTCCTGAAGAATACGAGAAGCGAATGGAGGAAGAACCTCCCAAACCAGCAGAATCTCCTGTTGCAGCACTGGAGGGTGAGGAATATCCAATCGTTACGGAAACGATCACCACCACCACTCGATACGAAATGGAGCGTCCTGAAGAATACGAGAAGCGAATGGAGGAAGAACCTCCCAAACCAGCAGAATCTCCAATCACTGCCGCTGAACGTGAAGAGTATCCAGTCGTAACAGAGACCGTCACCACCACCCGATACGAGATGGAGAGTCCTGAAGAGTTCGAGAAACGAATAGAGGAAGAACCTCGCAAGCCAGCAGAATCTCCTGTTGCAGCACCGGAGGGTGAGGAATATCCAGTCGTTACGGAAACGATCACCACTACCACTCGATACGAAATGGAGCGTCCTGAAGAATACGAGAAGAGTTCGAAACCGAAATATGAGGAAGAACCTCGCAATGCCCAGAATCCTCCAATCAGATGCCGAACGGAAGGTATCCAGTTCGTAACAGAGACCGTCACCCCCCCCTCGAACGAGATGGAGACGTTCCAAGTAAGAATACGAGAAGCGCATGGAGGAAGAATCCTCGCAACCAGCAGAATCTCGCTGTTGCCACTGGAGGGTGAGAAGTATGCCAATCGTTACGGAAACGATCACCACTACCGCTCGGATCGGAAGCATGAGCGTCCTGAGAATACGAGCGCACTGGAGGAAGAACCTCCCCACCAGCAGAATCTCCTGTTGCAGCACTGGAGGTGAGGAATATCCAATCGTTACGGAAACATCAGCCACGCACGACATCGATTACGAGATGCACGCGTCCTGAAATACGAGAAGCGAATGGAGGAAGAACCTCCAAATCAGCAGAACTCCAATCCCTGCCGCTGAACGTGAGAGTATCCAGTCGTAACAGAGACGTCACATCCCCACCCACCCCGATAGCGAGATGGAGACGTCCTGCGAAATGAGTTTCGAGAACGCATAGAGGAAGAACCTGCGCAAGCGCAGCAGAATTCTCGCTGTTTGCATGCGTTGGAGGGTGAGGAGTAATCCGCGGTCGTAACAGAACCGTCACGAACGACTACTCGATACGCGATGAGAGTCCTGTAAGAGTTCGAGAAACGATAGAGAAAGAGCCCCCCCCCGACCTGCAAGCCGGAGGCAGAATCTCGCTGTTGCAGCACCGGAGGTGGGAGTATTCCGATCGTAACAGAACGATCCCCATACCGACCCGATACGCATGGACTCCAAGAAGAATACGAGAAGCATGAGGAAGATACCTCCAAACCAGCAGAATCTCCTGTTCAGCACTGGAATGGGTTGAGGAATATCCAATCGTGTACGGAAACGATCACCTACCTACCACTCGATACGAAATGGAGGCGTCCTGAAGAGCATAGAGATAGCGAAAGGAGGAAGAACCTCCCAAACGCAGCTAAGCTCCAATCATGCGCTGAACGTGAGGAGTATCGCTCGTAAAACAGAAACCGTCACGACGACTACTCGATACGAGATGATGATGTCCTGCCAGAGTTCGAGAAAACGAATAGAGGAAGACTCTCGCAAGCCAAGCAAATCTCCTCTTGACCCCCGAGGTGTGACGGAATATCCAGTCGTTACGAAACGCTACCGCTACGGACTCGCCTAGCGAACTGGAAACTCCTGGAAGAAACGAAAGCGATGAGGCAAGAAACCTCGGCAAGCGCAGCGGAATCTCCTGTTGCACGCACCGGAGGGTGAAGAATATCCAGTCGTTAGCGGCAGCGATCCCCACTCCACTCGATACGAGATGGTGACTTCCGGAGAATAGCGAGAACGAATGACGGAACTCCTCGCAAGCCAGCCGAATCTCCTGTTGCAGCACCGCGAGGTGAATGAGTACCCACTCGTACAGACAACGAATCCCCACCTACCATCGATATCGAGATGAGACTCCGGAAGAATACCGAGAGCGAATGGAGGAAGAACCTCCGCAAGGCCAGCAGAATCTCCTGTTGACAGCACGGAGGGTAGAAGAGTACGACCACTCGTAAGAAACGGATCCCCAACTAACCTCGATACGAGATGGAGCCTCCCGTGAAGAATACGAGAGCGAATGGAGGAGGAGCCTCGCTGAAAGCACAGAATCTCCTGTTGCACGCGCTTGAGGGTGAGGAGTATCTCTAGTCGTGAACACCCTTTGACTCTCTGACAGAAAACCGTCACCTACCACACGAATTCGAGTATGGTAGAGTCTCCTGATGAGATTTCTGAGAAGACGAATGTGAGAAAGCAACCTCGTGCTAAGCAGAGCAATGAAATTTGAGAAGTCACTATGAATTAGTTGAATCTTGACCGAAGACCAGCAGATTGCTGCGGCACAGTTGACGTTCTTACGCTTGAGGAGATAACCCCCGTCAGGCTTCCATTACCCTGTCTTGATAAAGTCGCGGTTTTGACACGGCACGGGCTGAACAAGCAGAGGCGAGAGGTGAGTCAGCTCGCGTGCATAGCAATAGTCATGAAATGAGACGTAGAGGCGACAATATCACGAATGAGTCTACTTGACCCTGAAAGTAACAAATGGAGGCCATCAATTTGGTGGCGACTTGCAAAGATTGCGCTAGGAAAGCTGCCAAATCGCTGTGTGGCTGTGGTTGGCTCCATGTGGCGTTAGTCTGCCATGGTGCAACAGCCAGCGTGACGAAGCAAAACCAAAGAAGATATGCGTGATACCTCCCTTGGAATGTGTCAGTTGAAGGTTCGATCTTCCTTAGAGACTGTGGTCGAGCATGAAACATGGAGACTTATATAGAGAGGCACGTGCCCTAGAACATCCGCCAGCACAGGAGGAGTGTTGGAGAAGAGAACTTGAATCTCAAACCAGCAGAATCTCCAATCACTATCTGCTGAACATGAAGAACATCCCACTCGTAACAGAAAACGTTACTCAGCATTACAAAGAATGAGCGGTCGACTAATCACGTATGAGAGTGTCTCCTGAAAAGAGTTCGAGAAACGAGATTCAGCACTAAGCAACTCGCACACAGCTTCGCAGCACTAAGGCCTGATACATGCTACCGGAAGTGAGGAGATTTATTTTCACTCGATTACGTAATAAACTAAAACCAGTCAGACAGTTATCCCTCGATACGAGCTAGAAGCTCCTGAACAGAATGTTCGCAAAGAACGAAATAGAGGAAAAGAAGACCGTACGAGCCAAGCCAGCAGAATCTCACTGTTTCAGAAAAACACATGTGCGTAGGATGTGAGTGAGTTATCAGTCATTACGGAAACGATCACCACTACTGGCACTGCGATACGAGATGGACGGTCTCTTAAATTTTAATACCCGAGAAGCGCACATTGTGTTAAGATGAGACTTCAAACCAAAGCAATTATTCCTAGCGCACTGGAGGTGAGGAATATCCACTCGTGAACCGATACACGTATTTCCGGTCGACCAGGAGCACTAACAACCACCCTCATACGAAAGTGGAGCGCTCCTGAAAATACGAGAAGCGATGGAGGAAGAACCTCCCAAACCAGCAGAATCCATCACTGCGACGTTGAAATCGTGAAGAGTATTCTAAGTCGTAACAGAGACTCGGTCACACCACCCGATACGAGTATTGGAGACTCCAGAAGTAAACAGAATGGAGGCATGAACCTAATGAGTCGCAAGGCGAGCAGAATTCTCCTGTCTGGCAGCCCTGGAGGTGCAGGAATATTCCAATTCGTTAGAGGAAAGCGATCACCACCACCACTGCGATACGAATGGAGCGTCCTGAGAATAGACGAGAAATCGAATGGAGTGAAGAACCTCCCAAACCCAGCATGAATCGTCCTGTTGCATGCATTATTTTTTTCTGGAGGGTGAGGGGAATATCTCAATCGCTCTACGCGGAAAACGATTCACAACCGACCACTCGGATACTGAAAATGGAGCGTGGCCTGAAGAATACGAGAAGCCGAATGGAGGAAGAACCCTCCAAACCAAGCAGAATCTCCTCTTGCACAGCACGGAGGGTGATGAGTATCCGCTGCGACAGAAACCGTCCACGACAGGCTACCCTCGATACGAGATTGGAGATCATGAAGAGTGTGTGAGAAACGAATAGAGGAAGACACACAGCGGCAGCAGAATGCTCCAATTCACTGCCGCTGAACGTGAACAGTACCCCACTCGTGTAACAGAAACCGTCACGACCGACTACTCGATACGACGATGAGACTTTCGCAGAATACGCGAAGCGAATGGAGGAATAAAGCCTCGCAAGCCAGCAGAATCTCCGTGATTGGCGCACCGAGGTGAAGAGTACCACCACTCGTCAACCGAAACTCGTCACGGACGACCTACCTCGATACGAGATGGATGACTCGCCGCAGAATACGAGAACGAATGGAGCGATAGAACCTCGCGAGCCAGCAGAATCTCCTGTGCAGCGCAACCGGAGGGTGAGGAAATCCAGTCGTTACGGAACTGATCAGACCACTACACTCGATACGAGGATGGAGACTCCGGAATAGAATACGCAAAACGACGACGAGAAACCTCGCAAGCCAGCAGAATCTCTGTTGCAGGCACCGGGGTGAGAGTACCCACTCGTAACAGAAACGCGTCCCGACGCCTACTCGATAGCGAGATGGAGACTCCCGAAGAATACGAGAAAGCGATGAGGAAAACCTCGCAAGCCAGCAGAATCTCCTCTTGCAGACCACCGGAGGGCTGAGGAATGAATCTCAGTCGTGTACGGGAACGATTACACACACTCGATATCGATAATGGAGAGTCCTGAATGAGTTTCGCGGAAACGAATAGAGGAAAACCTCGCAAGCCAGCGACTCGTCCTGTGCAGCAGACCGGAGTGGTGACGAGTACCACTCGTAACAGAACCGTCACGACGACTACTCGCTACGCAATGAAACTTCCTGAAGAATCCGAAAAACGCGAAGTGGAGGAAGGAACCTCGCCAACGCCAGCAGATGGAATTTGAGGAAGCACATATGAGTTGGAATCGCCGCAAGCCGAGCAGAGCTCTCGCAGTGACCGGGCTGAAAAAGGAGGAGCGGAGAGGTGATCAGTCGGCTGCTGCATAAGTA